AAGTCCTTCAAGCACTCTTCTGAGGAGGTAGGACAATACTCCCGGGGGACTGTGTAGCAGCCACTGGGGTCTAGGGAGCGGGTGAGCTCCCAACAGCCAAGAGACAGCAAATGGCTCTAGGGAGGTGTTGAAGCAGGGTCAAGGTTCCCGGCCTGACCTGCCTGGTTCGTAGGTAGTGATGACTTGAGCCTCTCTCCCCAGGTTGGCCTATGGCCAGATCATAGTGGGTCACTCCAGCCTGGCAGTGCCCACCGTTCCCGGCTGTCACATGAACAGGAAATGGGGACCCAGAGGCCAGGCTAGATTACCTCCTCCTGGAAGCCTCTTCTCTCAGCTGCTGGACAGGGGTGGGGATGCCAGGAAGGGACCCAGAAGCTGAAGATGAATATGGAAATCTATTTGGATCTGACTTGAATTATTAAGAGGACCAAGAATATTCTTAGCTCTATAGAGCTGTGGTCTGCTGAGATGGACATCGCCGTGGTCCTATTTTTAAGGTTCTGTGGGAAAGAGCTGAGACGCCACTGCACTTAGGGCCCCCTGCCCTCAAGCACTGGTGTCTGGCCATCCCACCCCAGACAGGCCCACATTTCATGCTCCATGTACTCTGCTCCTTCAGTTTGCATCCCCCTGACCCTTGCACCCTACTCCCCCAGGCCCCTGTAGCAGCTAAGCCCAGAAGACTGTGGCCTGGAGTAGGGGTCCCACACCATTGCCGCTGATGTGGCAGGTATCACAACACTGGCCTGCATACCAATCGTGCAGTGTTCCTGCACTGCCCCCAAGCCTGGCTGCTACCCCATGCACTGAACTCTAGCATCTTCAAGGCATAGACCCACCCCAAACCTCAACCCTGTCTCAGGCTCTGATAACTACATGCTGTCCTGAGCCTGCACACTTTTGCACACTTTTGCCGTCCTAAGGCAATGGTAGAACTGGACTCACTCCTGGAAGCATCTGCCTGGGCTGTGGCTAGTGGTTTGGGGACAGGCATGGGAGGCTGTGGTGCAGGGGTAGTGGCACCCTCCTCTCAGTTTTTAACTCGTGTGGGTCCTTGGCAAGGAACTGCCAAGTCATTTTAGGAGGCCACCAAAAAAACCACTCCATGCTGACCATGGCTTGCCAAGGCAACAGACAGGGGTTACCAAAGGCAGGACTCAAAGTGGGGCTATTTCTAGTGATCTCAGGGGTAGAAAAAGAAAATAGCAAAGAATTAGATTCAAGACTAACTCCTTGAGACACACTCCCATCACTAAAATCCAGAAGAACTTGAAACTCAATTACAAATAGCCCAATTACATGCACATGGGCGCAAACACACACACACACACACACACACACACACACACACACACACACACACACACACACGAGAGAGAGAGAGAGAGAGAGAGAGAGAGAGAGAGAGAGGAACAAAGAATGTGAATAGATACAAAAGTGGCCTAGGAGAAGGCAAATGAACTCCCACCAGGTCCTTTCCAACTCACCGGGTGGCCAGACTCCAAAGACATACAGTAATAACCCTGGAAGGTGTGGGGATAAGCTCTTGGGGTAGTGACAGGGCTGTGGAAGGGGACTGCTGGGTCACCATAGGACCCAGCGTTGACCCTCCCAGGTATACACCCACAGGACTGAAAACAGTTACAAGGAGCTCAGCATATAGATCTCTTGCGCAGGCCCAAAGGCGAGCACCTGGGAGACACTGGACAAACCAAATGCACCACTCCATGCATGGGATAGGACTCAGTTACAAAAGGAGACGTAAGGACGCATGGATGGGTGGTATCTCACAAAGGAGCCTGGACACAGGCTCACCCCCCCCCAACACACACACACACACACACACACACACACACAC